GACGCGTGTAGGTTAACACAAATTTTATACATACATACAATTGGAAAGACTGGTGATTTTAAATTTTAAACTACGGGCAGTGTAGCATCTATGTAAGAATACACACCTGAGGGCCATTTAGGGCCGAAACATGTAGTGTGGAGGAAGAGAAGAAATAAAATTAAATTGTTGCACTTAAGACGGCGTTTGTCTCATATATATTGTGAAGAGTGTAATAAGTAAACAAAATGTGTAAACAAAGGTGTAGCAAGTGAACACCAATAAAAAAAAGACCAACCACTCCTTTTATCGTTAAGGAGGACCAACTAAGAGAGAGAGAGAGAAAAAGTCTACACACAGAACAAAAATATGGCCATGGGTCCCAGGCGGGCCTCGATGCCAAGAGTGACCGTGCCGGCTGATTGTCGGCAGTAAGCTTCTGCTCTGCTCTGCAAGTCAGTCAGTAGTCAGTCACCACATCTACTCCAACTATCGCACTTCTTACAGAGCGGTCTTCGGAGGCATCGGCACTTCGCTGCGTCAGGGACGGCTGACTCGGCTCTCCGGTGGTCCTGCCCGACCCACTGGGCATCTCGGCTGCCTCGACTCGCCGGCGGTCATGCCCGACTCACTGGGCAACTGCCGCCACTCCTGCGACCGCGCTCAACAACCAGACTTCTAACAGCAACCACGCTCAGCGACCAAGCAACTCCCGGACCCGTAACCACGCTCTGCGATCAGGCAATTTCCGACAACTGCCGCACTGCGGCCAGACTACTAACTTAGCTGCCGCCGCAACACACCGCAGCCGACATTATTTCTACCGGCGTACGTAGCGCTACTTCACCGGCCAAACGGCCCTTTTCAGGGCCTACAAACTTTCCGAAGTGGTTTGTCTGTTGGAGTAACGACGAGAAAATCCCACATATCCTTACAGCAAACACTGACCTCCAAATAAGAATTACTTAAACCATCTCACTCACCTTGCATGTCAATGTAATTATAACTTGGACACTGTTATGCCCCAAGGGTTATGTACAAGTAGATATGTTTTTTTTTTGGGGGGGGGGGNGGGGGTAATTTGGGATAAGGGTATCTAGACTTTAAGATTAAGAAACAGAAATAATGAAATGTACCAGGAAGCTTGGGTTTGCAAAGAAGTGTAACAGGCTATAACTTAGTAATCAGAATGCTAGCACGACAGGTAATAACGCTGACATTGAGGAAGAAGCTATATGAAGTGGGTCATAAAAACTATGGCATGAGGAAAACGCTGAGTCGGAGAGGGCGGTAGACCTGAAAGAGACAACCCCCTTTCGATAAACAGCTGAGTGGGCAACACAGACCCAAAATCACGTCAGGATGGGCGGGCGAATACACCTCCGGAACCCAGCGAGTCAGCAAAAAGAGGGTACATAAACTCTAGAGGAATCGATCAGAAAAAAAGATTATTATTTAATGTTATATTTTAGCGTCCTGTTGCACTGATTTAAGTCCATGATTTATTTAAACCGCCTTGCAGTGCATACACTCATCTATCTCCTTCTCTCACTCGCACTACATGTTTCGGCATAAAAATGCCATCTTCGGGTGCTTACTCAATCCACGCCAAACTAGTTCATTGCATGCCTTGTCCTCACATTAAAATAACTAAAATATATATCTATTATATACATTGACAAATGTCAAACGTTAAAAATATGAAAATTGTTCAGAACGACAAAGAAAAACACACACATGAATAATATAAATAAAGAAATATATAACCCAATATACCACGAATTAAACACTATCTACACAGAACAACACCCCACCCCCTACCCCCACCACATCTACGCCCACAACATCATAACTCACTCAAAACGAAGACAGAACACACACACATACCCAGCAGGCCCAACAGTATAACACACGCAGACACAGGAGCAAGACACAACAAAAGCACAGTATTATTAAAAATTATAATACCACAAGTAATAAATAAAATACGGAACGCGGTATTAATAAATAAAAAAAATTCACGTTACAGACACACACACACGATAGTGAAGGAGTGCTCCAACAGAGGAGGATGGGCGTGACTGGCGTAGTGAGATGCGACGTAGCGATGAGGAATCCTGAACAATTTTAATATTTTTAACGTTTGACATTTGTCAATGTATATAATAGATATATATTTTAGTTATTCTAATGTGAGGACAAGGCATGCAATGAACTAGTTTGGCGTGGATTGAGTAAGCACCCGAAGATGGCATTTTTATGCCGAAACATGTAGTGCGAGTGAGAGAAGGAGATAGACTGCAAGACGGTTTAAATAAATCATGGATTATTATTTAATTGTCAAAGAGTTCAGCTGGAGGCTATCGCCGAGTAGAGGTTCGGGTAGCGAGCGCCTGTTTCATCAGCTCAAGTAAGTAGACTTACTTCATATAAGCCATGAACATTAAGTGTGATAATATTAAAGTGCAAACCCCAAGGGAGAGAAAGTGAAAACTAGATGGACTAGGTTAACAGAGAAAGAGAGACAGAAGTATAGGATACCCAACAGCAGGGTGACACGAGTAGAACTAAGGTGCACTACAGGATAATAACCCACATGTAATGCGAGCCGACGTCGGCAAATTGTGTATATATTATGTATATAGCGACATAGGTGAACAGAGTAGGATAGAAATGCGTTGTGATGTTAATTGAACTTAGCCTTCCCTCAAGCGTTAACATCCTCCCTGAATGCTCCTGCATCTCCCGGATCCTTTAAGAGAATTGCAACTCATGCCAAGGCGCCAGCTATGTCAGTGAGTGTGAATTTACTTGAGCCCCCCCCCTTACGGCATATCAAGATGGTGGCAGCGGCGGGATACCTCCACGCCCTCCTGTCACCACGGCATAATAATTGGTGGCAGAGGTGGGATCGAGTCAACGAAGGGTTGGCTGAAGTAGTGAATTAATATTGTTTACCCACCCCTGCCATCGCGGCGTAATAATTTGTGACAGCGGTGAGATATCCAATCCACCCTGTCGAGAAGCATAATAGGCAGCAACCACAAATACCGAGACTGACAAGTGACCCTTCAATTACACAAACACACTTCGCCAAAAACACAAATAACAAATTTTATTCAATCTCTGTGCAGGTAGATAGCTTCCATTTTGTCATTTCCTTTAAGACGTGTTCATCATACTATTATTCACACTGATTTCCACTATGCACATTACAATTTGTACAGCTGTAACATGAACATTCATAGCCAGACAGCAACACATCCATGAGATGGCACTATAGACTCAATTGCTGTGACCACACTTTACCATTACACCTGTAGAAACAAATGTGAATGCATCATCTTACAAAACTGGTTCAGAAAGAGTGTACTGAGCAGTACACACCAAAACCACTGTTTCACATGTTCAGCTCATAAGCCAACTGCAAAACTTTTCAGTATCTGGTATGCATTTCTAAGGCCCACATACACAGACCAAACACTGAAACAGCACAAACAGCCCTGCAATTTATGGCTATTACAATAAATGTGGTGCAAGCAATCCTACACTGGCTTGCTGTCTGCACAATTATGCCTTCTGTCAGTCATAACATGGGCATCCTTATGACCTAATTTAGCTGAAACTTTCCTTCTGGATTCCATTCCAATTTCGTAACAGTTTTGCATACTATCTTCATCACAGTCTTCCACTCAATAATTTTACTTCCACTGCTACTGGTGACAACTCTTTACCCTTCTCTTCCTGTTACATGTCCAAACCTCCCACATGTATCTGGTTCCAACTCTAGTATGCGAGATTCTCTCCAACATTTTCACATAGTTCTGAGTGCCAAGTAGCATCATTACCTCCATGTTTCACTTTGTGCCACTATTAGACTTCAAAAAATGAATTTCCAGTGTTCCAGAGAATGCCTCTGCTCCCCAACACCTAGGTTCAATGCAACCGGTTCTGTTTGTGTGTGTGCATGTGCATGTGTTCAGACATGCGTGCTTCCAGGTGCTACTACCCTTGTCTTTCAACAGACCAACAACGGGACACAACAGGTATTCAGGCTTTCTTTCGTCATCTTTGGGGGCCACAAGGAGCCTGAGGGACAGAGGATGTATTTCTTTGTCAATGGTTCTGTTTTACTAATGTACACTGGTAGATGGGTTCTCAGACACACACTGAATCACATTTCTCTGGTGGTCAGGATGTAACCACACCCAAAGGGCCATGTCCCATCTTCAAACATAATGCAGTACTGCATATAATTAACTACAGGATACCTCAGCAATAACTACAACTACTGTATACCATAGTACTGGCCAGAACTACACATTAATCTAACTACATCAAAACACGTTCAACATCAGTACAGGATTCAGTTGAGGTTAATCACAAACCCTGATTACCAATGTACAACGAAGAAGCGCCCTCAACACAAGCACTCACATTTGCTAACCTCTGAGATTCCCCACATTGTGGCCCTGGGTATAAATGGATGGTAGACTCCACCCACTCTTCTCCATATTGGTCCATCTGAAATGAGGACAGCAGACTCCAAGAGCAACTGTGGCATCACTCAGGATATTAATCCCTCGTGACAAAAAATATTCACCAGCATCGAACTTCACTCCTTACTGACATTACTGATTAACTGATCACAACAGTTTCTCTCTTCACAGCCTACACAAGACAGCTCGTCTTCGACATATCAAGAAAATATTTATGACTACGGGAACAGTAACCGCTGCTAGTAGATAACAGCATTCTTCTTCATGATGCATGTATGTTGACTTTACAATAATGCAGCAAACAGAAATGTTTGTAAAGTACATTCAAAGCATATTTCTGTTTCCAGTCATGAGTGATCAGCACAATGAAAGATCTTTGCAACTCAGTAGCAACAAAGCACCAAGCAACATTTTTGCCACATATCCTTAATTTCTGTATACATTTATTATTTGCAAGGCATCATTAATGTCTGAAAATCACAACTATTATACCAGCAAAGATTTCTGCAATTCTTCAAAATTTTAATAACCCTTATCTGGGCATTTCTTTGCTTCAAGCCCTTCAGCTGCATCATAAGGCTCCAAGAACAACACACAAGAGAATGTTCCTTTTTGTGTTACCTTGATGTGGCCTCCACTACATTCCTCCTGTCCTTTCAATGCTTCAGCAATAAGTCATCATAAAGCCCTCGGTCTGCCAACAGGCTTTTAAGACTTTATCACACATTAAGTTATACCTGGAGTCTGCCACTTTAAAGTAAAAAATCAAACTTGAAACGGTAAAAACATTTTAAAACAAAATGTACAAGGTCTAACTTCTTGAACATGCTGATATAGACCTGGAAGTTTTAAGTGTAGGAATTTCGGTAATGATGGTGCACAGGGTACATTTGTATACTGTTGGAACTTTTCTTTCAAGCAGAGCCTGTTGAACACAGGATGCTCTCAAGTTCTGTAAGCACTAGTGACAAAACTTGAAGTTACATGAACACAACAACAATTCAAACTATTAGAAATCTATCCCACTAGAACTCTTCCATGCCTTGGAACTCCAAACTTACTTAGTTAATTACTTATGGAGTTGGGCCCTTCTTGAAGAGACAAATCTGCAGCTACTCAGGAACTTTCCAGCATTTTATGGAACCTGAAGGTTCATTACCGTGTTCACAACAGCCCTCCACTGGTCCCTATCCTGAGCCAGATCAATCCAATCCATACCATCCCCTCCTATCTCTCTAAGATCCACCCACCTATGCCTTGGTCTTCCCAGCGGTCTCTTTCCTTCTGGCTTTCCCACCAGTATCCTATATGCTACATGCCCAGCCCACCTCATCCTCCTTGACTTGATCATTCTGATTATACTTGGAGAAGAGTACAAGTTATGAAGCTCATTATGCAGTTTTCTCCAACCTCCTGTCACTTAATCTCTCATCAGTCCAAATATTCTCCTCAGCACCCTGTTCTCAAACACCCTCAGTCTATGTTCCTCCCTTAATGTCAAAGACCAAGTTTCACACCCATACAGAACCACACACAAAATTATAGTTTTGTATATTCTAATTTTAATGTTTATAGACAGCAGATGAGAATATAAAAGCCTCTGGACTGAACGGTAGCAAGCATTACCTGAATTCAATCTGCTCTTAATTTCCTCCTGAATCAGGTTTTGATCTGTTATCACTGTTCCCAAATATCTGAACTGTGCCACATTTTCAAAACCTATCTACTTCCTATCTTTATGTCATGATTTTGCACTGCATTTTGGTGATGAGACAGTAACATATACTTAGATTTCTGTGTTTATTTCTAGACCAACCTCTTTAGGTGCGTCAATTAAAGTTTGTGTGTTTTTCTTTATGGTATCTACATTATCACCCTGTAGATTCACATCATCGGCATAGACCAACAGCTGATGTGTCCCGTTTAATTTCAGTCCCACCTGGTTTCCCTGGACCTTCCTAATGGCATATTCTAAATCAAAGTTGAAAAGGAGTGGCGATAAAGCATCTCCTTGTAACTCCAAATTGTAGCTTAATTTTAAGAGTTCAATTACACTCATGAACAGCATCATACAAAAGCAACCTTCCCTTCTAAACCAGCACATTGCAAAACCCCACTGGGAAACCTTGCACACATGCTTAAGTCACAACACAATACTCTCATGGAATTTATGACATGCCTTTCTGGAAGGAAATCACTCGATACACAAAACATATTAAACTGCTGTAATATACATAAATCCCATGAGAAAAATTCTGAAACCAATTACTCAAATGTATCATCACATGTTAGTGACTGGATATGGTGATAACTATAGATAACTATAACAGTCTCATTGATTTAGACACTACAGAGTATTGCAACTACAGCACATGTAGTTATGGCTAACAGCAAAACTCAAGACTGACTTGAATGTTGCGGGTTGTCATACGGTCTTGGCATGAACCTCAACGGCTGTCTCTTCGTGTTCCATTATTCCAGCTTTAAGACCTGGTGTCACATTATGCACAATCTGAGGTTCTCACAGTGGTGGTTCTGCGATAACACACCATGCAATCAGCTGAACGTCGCCTCCAACTTCAGGGTAGAACAAGCCAAGTAGGAAAACAGATTGAAGCAGTCAACAAGCACAGCTGCTGTTTGCAACCTGCTTCATGCTGGTTTCTTGCTTGACTCATTCTACAACCCTCAAGATGGAGCTTGGAACTGACAAGTTTCTCCAAAATGTCACTCAGCTTTCAATGGTCTACACAGTGATATATCCTGCAGGATAGAATGTTTCAACTATTTAAATGTCTGAGGTGACAAAACGTCTTAGGTGGTGCCTTCATAAACAGATTTCACTGTACTTTTCTGCAAAGTTTCATATTGAGATACAAATCAGAATGCCTGCTCTATTCGGAAAGGAAGTAGGCTTGAGATCACCATGTTGCCTGTGTCTGATTCCCCCATTTCAACTTTCCAACCAACTAACTGATTTTCACAAAATTTTGTATGGATGTTATGCCATTAGAGGCAAAACCAAACCCTGACTCTTCCATCCCCTACAATCCATAATAACATGACATACACATGAATTGCATGGTGAGGTTGCCCTGAAATTAAGCATGGCAATATAGCCTGCAAAACAACTGTATGTCTGAAAAGGTAATTGTTTTGCAAAAAGGTAAACGTTATCCCCTGTGCTTAATTAATTAAGCACTATGCCATGAAGATGTACACGGGAGTGGATGTATAGATCCACATTTTCTTGGCCTCGGCACTATCTGGAGGCGAGTGGTCAACTTCATGCACCGGGGAAGGTGCCACCAGTACCCACTGGACAGGAAGTTGGGTGGACCCCAGAACCGGTCTGGATGTGAAGAAGAGAAAATTCACGACCCTACCAGGACTCAAACGCCAACCCCTCGGTCATACAGCCAGTAGTTAGTCACTATACTGACTATGCTATCCCAGGTGCTTAATTGCTTTGTGGACTGTAAAAAATAAAATCAACATTAAAAAATTAATCTTATGGTTTCATGGCTATACAAAAATCGTTTTTGCTGGACACACATTTTTCGTACAAATGAGACCACATACAAACTTATCTAACACATGAGAGCTCACCAGTCATCAACTGCAAACATGGCAATGGTGCAATATCTTCATGTTTACCTGAGTGATATAACATCTGGACCCAAAAATTGGACAGACCAGACTTGTGCTACCCCCTCCCCAAAAAATTTTCAATACCACCTTGTTAAAATATACCACATTATAAAGCAATATATGTGGCCGTTATGCAGAATGTTTTAGTTTCCCTCAAACCTTGGAAGGTATGAATTTGGACTGTACACTTGCATCATACGAGGCTCGTCCACAAAGTAAGTTTCCCTGGGGCCTTTTACAGAAACAAAACATAATTTCATGGAAATATTTATTGCAACAGATACAGCAAGTGTTCAGCTATTTTTCAACATAATTGCCACCGGAATTGAAACATTTGTCATACCGTGGGACCAACTTTTGAATGCCTGTGTCATAGAAGTCTGCCGCCTGGGATTGGAACCACTGTGTGACAACCATCTCTGCCTCTCTGTCATTCTCAAAACGCTGACACTCACCGGACAGGAATTTCTTGAGGTGTAGGAAAAGATGGAAATCACTGGGAGCAAGGTCCAGGCTGTAGGGTGGATGATTAAACACCTCCCAGCTGAACTTCTGCAGGAGACTTGCTATCCGTTGAGCCGTGTGCGGCCTAGCGTTATCGTGCAGGAAGACAATACCGGCACTAAGCATCCCGCGCCACTTCTTCTGAATGGCCCGTTGCAATTTCTGCAGTGTTTCACAGTAACGCTCAGCATTCACCATCTCACCTCTGGTCAGGAAGTCGACGTGGAGAACACCCCGTCTGTCCCAGAATACCGTGCACATCACTTTCTGCGCCGACGTCTGCTTGAATTTCGTCTTACAGGGAGATCCACTGCGACGCCAATGCATTGACTGCTGCTTGGTTTCTGGGGTAATGTGTGCAATCCACGTTTCATCACCTGTGACGATCCGGTCCAGAAACTGGTCGCCGTCATCATAGTACTGCTGCAGAAAGGTCAATGCTGACTCCATGCGCTTTGTTTTGTGTTCTGGTGTCAGTTGCTTCGGCACCCACCTGGCGCATAATTTCCTGAACAGGTGCTCCGTGACAATTTCATGCAACAAGGAGCGGGAAATCTGCAGGACATGACTGCTGAGTTCCGCAATTGTGACGCGACGATTCTCCATAATGCATTCCCGCACAGGCTCCACCAGGTCGTCTGTAATGATGGATGGCCGCCCACTGCGCTTCTCATCATGCACACTTTGTCGACCTGCTGAAAACTGTCTGCACCAGCGACGCTCCATCTGCTTGCTCATGACATTAGGTCCATAGACCCGGCACAGCTGACGATGAATTTCGATCGGCGCTATGCTCTGTGCATTCAAAAACTTTATCACTGACCGCACTTCACAGTCAGAGGGAGCTGGAATAAGAGCCTCCATCTTCAACAGCTGCAACGATGCTACTGTGGGAACGCGGGAAATTCCATTAGTGCATGCGCCATGCTACGTCATTGATCTATCATTTACGCGCAGTCGCTTCACGCAATATAAGGTTTGTTAGCTGTGGGACGAGTGGGAAACTTACTTTGTGGACGTGTTACATATTACGTTAGCAACACACAGCGGCCACTCCTTGCAACAGCACTAGTCACTCACTTCCTTCAATGCTGGTAACAGGTTTGCTACCACATTGCCAGAAACACTTCTCTGGGCCACCATTCTCTTGGTGAGTGAGTACGTCAAGTTTTTCACAACCACAAGAGCAATTTGCTTGTACCATCAAAAGAGACCTTAGAGATAAACCTTTAAAGGCTGAATATCTTCTGAATATAAAAAGATTCGGCCCATATCTCACAGGAAACACATTATGTCACCATTACAGAGCCCAACCAGTTAATACTGTTTAAAGTAAGAGTCACTGTTTATTGTGAGAATCATACGGAACACACAAATGCACTCTATGGGCAGAATGGAGAGTTTTGGTAGGTTAGAGCAGGTGGCACATATACTAACCACTAGGCTTTAAGAGTTAAGGCAGTTAACTCATCAGCCACATATATTACTCCTTGTAGAGCAAACACATTCAACCAGGGTAAATGTAACACCATTTCAGTGGTTTTCACATCACACCTAATTTCCTCAGCTTCCATACCACAGAAAGTCCGTGCTAATCTCTCAGCACTGCCGCTGGTCAAACAGCTCAACCTCCTCCTTGGGTCTGGAATGAAGCTGAGAGATGCTGGTATTTCTGTAGAAGTGGCAACAATATCATACAACTTCTCACTTCCCATTTCTCATCATATTTGGCACACGCTCTGCAAAATGTCAACCTCTTGGAATGCCAGAATCTTCTCAACCCGATAAAACTTTGCCTGTGCTCTGGCAACCTTTCCCTGTCATCCTGCCCCACATTTCTTATGGATTCAAAGTGTCATGCAACTTCTGTGGCTGGTACATCATCCTCCTCAGTAAGTTGTAACATTTCCTTGAAGATGTGAACCTGGTCACTTACGATGCGTCTTCAGTTTCTTGAAAAAAACAGGGTACTTTTCTTGAAGAAAGTAGGCGCACAAACCAATGAAACTGTCCTGTATCACAATATCATAATGGATACCGTCCACAGGTATTTGCATTTTGGGTACTTATAAATTACAACAATGAAATGTCACATGTCACAACAAATTCCATACACTAACTTTGTTAGGTACCGTTCAACACAGCACTGTATTGCAGAGGCGTTCAAGCACATTTCATAGGACAGGTCACTTATTTAATAATTTTCTCAAAAAAGTGTACATACAAGAGTGCCAATTTTCACATTCATGCACAGAACATTGTTTCCATGGAACCCTTCATTAATATTTTCTACAAACCTTTGTTCTTTATCTCCTTTTTCCCCTCACTTCACTGAGGTCTCATTTTACACACAAAACAATCACATTCTTCTATTTACTTGCTACTTTCATGAAGTCCAAGTTCTGAATGTAAAAGTCTATACAGCCTGGATGTTACGGAGACCACCATGAAAAATCAATCCCTCGTCCTTAATAACCTCATTACAACCATGTAAGCTACACAAGACTTCTAGATGGCAGTCCCACTTTGTCTGCTCTTTACTCTGCGGCCTATGATAAACACTAAGCATTAACACGACACAATCACAAAACATCCAAAACCCGATTCCCCAACAATGGTGGCACTTCTTGAGTGAACACTACACTAGCCACTTGACTCTTTGCTCCAAAGAAACTCTCAAATCTGAGCTGCTGCTGTTGAACACACTGATTTTGGAAACGCCCACTGGCATGGTCTATGAAGGACTGCATTCATTAACCTGTGTCTTGTGCTGCTAGCACTTACCTTCTTGTCTCACACATGCAAAGGCATTCTGGAAACACCTCGCAGCTGGCCAGCCTGTGATATATCTATAAATTTAAAATGGGTGATGCTGAAGTTAAGAAATATCCTGAAAGATTCACGCACACAGACACGCTCCCTCCCAGAATTCAGGTCATGCATACAAAAATATATTTATCATCCATTTTCTTGATGTGCTATCCAACCACTACATAAATTAAAGCTCAAACAGCCATGAACCCACTAAACTTTCCAAAACAAATTTGTCATCAAATACTGCGACTCACAATTCCCATTGCTGTCAGACTTCATATACATATCAAATCCCAATTTCTAAAGCTGGCAAAATGTTCTGAATAGAAGAGTACAAAAGAATAAAAAAATCTACAAAAGTTTTTTGCAGCAACAGTACACTTTGTTGAATGAGTACATCCTATCGTGTTGCTTATACTCCAGGAGGATTATTCTCTGATCTGCTTTGTAAGCATATGGATACTATCAAGCTTTCCTAATGGAAGTACAATCAATTTTGTTCTTAAAAACGTTGATAAGAAATAAAGTGCTGAAATGTTTCCATCTGGAGTAAAGGATTCTGAAATTTAAAATACTCAAACCTGATTCATAATTGCAGACACCGTCAAACCAATGAAACTTATAACTCAAATTAATAAATTTACACTGCATGTGTTAATTTTATTTTAATTTGTGAACGTAAAGATATTCCACATGACAAGAGCTTACCCATTCCAGAGAAGAGAAATTACATGCAATACTTTCTCTCACATGGAATTAGTTTCTCACACACACAGCTGACACAATTTGTACTGTCCTGTGGTGTGACTGGAGACAAGGTTTGGATAGGTAATTAAATTTATTGGACACTTACACTTGTAACTACAAATAACTACAACAGTCGCACTGAATTACACACTCCAAAGACCACTGTAACTACAACACACACAAAGTCTTCTCAGTCTTCACTAGCCGTTGCTTGGTAGCAGCTTCCAATGGCAGACATTCCTCTGGGACCCGCAGCCTTCACATTTTCCAGGCCAGTCTTAATTTAGGCATCGATGTGTTCCCAGCCAGTCTCTATTCTGGCCTCTGCTGCTTCTCTTCATGCCAGACATCCGTCTGGGAGACAAAAGCATTTCTTCAGGTTTTCATTTCTTCTTGAAGGACCTCAAATTTCTTGCTAATTGACTTCTACCCTTACTTGGTTGGTTCTTGTTTCAGCCTTCATTTCATCCAGCAGGCAATCCAGTGTTTTCTTCTATATTCCTAGGATGGCAATATGACTATACAATGCGATCTGATACAGTAATTTGTTCAATTTGACCCACTTTTGACACCAGTTGTCACCTGTTAAGAGTGAACAGAGTCAAGGTTTGGATTTATAACTGGACTGACTGGATGCTTACACTTGTAACTGCAAATAACTATGTCAGTCTCACTGAATTACACACTCCAAAGATCACTGTAACTACAGCACACATAGAGTCTTCTCAGTCTTCACTAGCTGTTGCTTAGTAGCAGGTTTCAACAGTGGGCATTCCCCTTCCTCTCAGTACCCAAACTGTTTCCGGCCTCAGCTTCTCACTTCTCACAACTGCCACTATCAACTGACTCAGCCCACAACTGAACTACTAGCCCTCGTTATATGGCCCCTGCATTGGGCCGCGCCATAGCTCAAGCGGTTAGTCACTGGCTTTCCACCGCGGCGGCCCGGGTTTGATCCCGGGTCTGGTCAAGTGGGATTTGTCGTGGACAAAGTGGCGCTGGGGTGGGTTTTCTCTGAGTACTTCAGTTCCCCTGCCAATCTTCATTACACCAAATTCTCCATCATCATAATCACTCGGAACAGGCTACAATAGGCCAATCAGTGGCCGCCGTGCCAAGTGGAGCCAGTTGGACTCCACCCCCCACTAAGCATATTAAAGAAAAAGAAAACATTATCACTTAAACAGCTACTACACTCTTTACCAGCATCAACAAAATGATTACCTCTGGTTTTGAGGCTCCTTCTACCTGAAGAATTTCTGTTCAGTGACTCTGATTTTCAATTGCAAGCACTCTCATCCAGCAGATCAGCAATCCTCTCCACACCTGAAGAAGACATTTTTGTTCCATCCGACTACATGCTCACAAAACTACAAACAACTACAATGGATACATACTAGACGGAAATGTTGCCAAATTCATTTGTTACCTATGTTAAGTGCTTTATTTCTACATGTTAGACTAAGGACCACAAATTTTAAGGAAAGCCCAATTCAAACATTTAACCTCTATGTAGGATTTGAGGTTCCCATGGCAGTGGTTATCAGGAGTTCTATCTTCTGTGATATAATGCTGAGTACTTTGCTGAAAGCCAACATATTGTCACTTGACTGACTGCAGATTGGGATTGGACCAGCAACTGGAGTTACTGAACTCTTACATACACAACTCATGACTACACGTTACAGATAACTATCACATAGATTAGTGTTCTCAGTCAGTCTTCACTGCGCTGCTTGGTAGTGGCTTCCAATGGTGGATGTTCTCCTTCCTCCAGGTCCCTGAACTGTCCCAGCCTCAGCTACCAGCTTCTGCAACTCTCAACTGACCGACTGCCTTCCCGCACACTCTCTCTTTCAAAGTTAAGAAGTTGTGTTACAACCGTTGGTCATTCGGCCAGTCTGTCTTGGTATCAAGTACCCATCTGGGGACGACACCAGATTTTTATTACTGTCAGACAATTGCATGTTTGATGTGAAGGTGGGTCTGTCATTTACAATTGTTGCCGGCCCTCACCAGTGCAGTCATATTTACCTCCTATGAACTCTAGCAGCCATTTTGCTTCATCAGTTTTAATATAAATTTTGTGATGGTCAATGTTCTGTCTTCCTCTGACTTGGCCCCATTGAGCTTTGTCATGATCTGCTGAAATATCACTGTAACTACTTTGAACATGTCATTCATAGATGAACTGTTTGCATGAGAAGCCTGAAGTGACTGGCTTGGTGCTTATTGGTATGAACCTCAAGAGAGGAGGGCACTCATTTCTCCCACTGTGATGGGACAGCTGAGGCTACTGCTGTTGCTGCGTAGCACCGCTGCGAAGGATAGTCCTGGGGTGGTGTGGCTGGAAGAGAACACCCTTCCCAACGTAGGCTTTGGCATGTTCTGTGACTTCCTCTTTCCAACTCTTCATGTGTGCCTGCAACCTTGATAGTTGAAGGGATAAGATTCCTCTTTGACCACCAACCTGCAGTTGCGGCATGTAGGTATTGATGCTGTTCTGCCCTTTTCTGGGCACTCCTTGGCAGGTAACCGTCCCCACACCTCATACAACAAGGAGGTTGCTTGTAGTTAGCCTAGACATGGCCAAACTGTTGGCAGCTGTAACAGTGTGCGAGACCAGTCTGAGCTTTGTATGCCCCTACCCTGATTGTAATATGGCAAAGGCTCATCAGTTTGAAAATCTCGTGGGACTTTGACATCCTAGGTAAGGTTTTAGGAAGAGAGGAATGTTTACTGTGGTCATTCCTTCTGCAGGTGATCAAAGGGTGGCAGACATACTTGTATGTTTTGATGCTAACAACATCAAAGCCAAGGTTCACCAATCCATCTCAGATTTCCTCTACCAGAGTTGAGACAGCAAGATAACAGTATCACAGCCTTTATAAGCTTCTAGGATTTGGGATAGAAGGTAAAGTAGGGGAGGTTATTGCTCTCAAAGTGAGATACCATGGTATCTATGGGCAGGCTTAGGCAAGCACACCGACTCACATGGCATGCTTCTGTACGTCTCACTGTTGGAGACTGCAGAGGGAACAGTGTGAGATAACCTACAAGGTTATCATTTGCGGCTGTGGTTATACACAGTCCACAGTCTGCAGCAACCTGGTTGCTTAGAAGGTAAAGGTAAAGTTGCCCCTGTGCATAACTACTTAAGCACTATGCCACGAAGTGTAAGGATCCTTGTATTCTTGACATCTGGACTATCTGAAAGTAACCCAATTCAAATATTTTTATAATGACAAATTTAATAGAAATGTGGCTGTGAAAGCAGATTCCAAGGAAACTCCAGTTTTCTTGTGTGCCAAATTTCTTTACAGTTTGTAGGTACTTCCTCTAACCATGCCTGAATATCTCAAATATTTTCTTTGGTCAGCACAATGCTCCTGGATTATTTATTTTTGTGAAAAACAAAATCCATGAGGCACAACTTCTTGGCAAATGTTGGTACACACAACTGTGTGGAAACCTGTCCCTGTAGGTATTTACCAGCAGGTATCCAAATGCATCACCCCCCCCCAATCCCTCTACATGCAGGATTTGACTGTGGATACCGCTGAATCATATACATAACCACGAGATTAAAAAATTCAGAACTCAGAATAAACTGATCTGAGAAAGCTGAAATTTGACACACTGCCATACTGATCACACAGGTGCAACACAGTTTTTTGGACATCATCCATCATTGTAATTTTTGTAATATTTCACACTCTGGGCCCTTTCTCAATCTTCAGGGAAAAAAAGGTTTTTATCACCGGTCCAATCAACTGAGCTGGTCACTTTTTTCAGACTGACACTAAGTTTGTTAAATGCGAATCATTCATCATTATACAGAACATACAGACAGAACATACAGTGTACGCTTTCTTCATGCTACCGACACATTTCCCTTCATATACCTGTCACCTTACTGACAATGTTAATATGAGGGGGACGGGGGAAATACACACTGAGTATCCAAACACAATATCGCATGCGGTAATTAAAATCTCATATAACACAAATATCCTTCATACATGGCCTACTTACGGTTAGAATCCACCAACGTATTGCGGAGGGGACTTCCAGGATGCTCTTTCATCTGTCTGCAAACGATGGAATTCTTCGCAAGCAGTCTGCTGTGTGGTTAAGTTAACTCACCTTCAAAATCATTCCTCACTCAGAAATCGATTACGCTGACATTTGGAACAGCAATTTCCTCACTCATACCTCTCCAGTACTGCGAACAAAGAATCAGAGTAACATAGAGCCTTAATTTTTAAATGACTATCCAACTTATGTTCAACGCAGCCTTTTACGTATATCAATGTCAGTTTTACTGAGTTAGCAAACGTTGGTACAGTGCTACTTTCAACTTCAGTGCTAAATCTTATGTCAATGTTTTTAACTTAGTGTTTAAATCTGAAACAATATAAAGATTTTAACACATCTAGTTTTTCCAGCTAGAAAAAACTCGTACTTTCACACTAACTCGCATCTACCGCCCACAGGAACAAAATGGCTACCACGGATTGCATCCCAGATTGCACCACAGATGCTACCTTGCTGTTCTTCACTCTTTGGATACCACTAGCGCTGTCGCATGCAATACTTACCCCAACTTCTTCGACAAATTCATAGAAAATTCTTAATCCGAACAGTATTTGAAATATGGATAACAGACCGATTTTTAGAACACATGAATTGTAGGTACTAAGGAGCTTGGATTGCTTGCGCATACCCAGGAATTTGAATTTAGTTTCCCGACTGCCTTCAGCATTCTCTTACAAATTCCTCATATTTGCTATCAATTTGGTGAACAAGATTCTTTGAGTTCGGTGACGACAATATAAACACAAACATAATCTTCATCCAGCACACCCCACCCAATTCGGCAACCGAAATTAAATCAGCTAAATTAAATTAGAAGTTGCTGGTACTCGGTTCCCCCGAAACGTCAGTTCCTATCTAAGAAACCAAACCGCGTCACACCCTCGAAAACCGTAATCTGAAGTTAATCTAATCCACCTTTATATAAACAGAATAGAATACTCCAGCTCCTACATATCAGCCTTCCGCTACGAGGAATCGTATCACTGAATAGTATTGATTTAGCGTGCTTCTGGAGCGATTTCAGATTCAGCCTCGATGTTATTCAAGTATAATACTGTCGCGTGTTTGCTAGGCAACGCGACAAGTAAGTTTGTGGGGATTCTCGGATTTGAACGAATATTTTATTGGACGGTCACTTTTACTCTCACACTTACAGTTACTCATCACTTATAGCGTCCTTCAGACGTTTCTTCTTCACTCTTACAATTACCTGCACCGTTGAGCTTGGTGAGGTGTCTTCTGCTCTGATAGGAGCTCAACTGTCCTTGGTCCCTTGTCGGATACGAACTCACTCCTGCTAAAGTCGAACACAAACTCTTCTGTTCTAGTCGGATAAGAAATCTGATGCTCTCAAAGTCAAAGTCACATTGCGACTGACGGTCAGTCAGTCAGTAAGTCTTGGTTTCGAGCCCCAGATATTTATTACTGTTTGACAGTTACGGTCTCTTGCCGAATACCAACTGTTATATATGCAATCGGACTGAATAGGGAATACCTTGACGAAGTGTTAATTTCGCCCGCTACTATGCAACGAACGCGGGAATACGTGTCTGCCTCAANCTAGTTTTTCCAGCTAGAAAAAACTCGTACTTTCACACTAACTCGCATCTACCGCCCACAGGAACAAAATGGCTACCACGGATTGCATCCCAGATTGCACCACAGATGCTACCTTGCTGTTCTTCACTCTTTGGATACCACTAGCGCTGTCGCATGCAATACTTACCCCAACTTCTTCGACAAATTCATAGAAAATTCTTAATCCGAACAGTATTTGAAATATGGATAACAGACCGATTTTTAGAACACATGAATTGTAGGTACTAAGGAGCTTGGATTGCTTGCGCATACCCAGGAATTTGAATTTAGTTTCCCGACTGCCTTCAGCATTCTCTTACAAATTCCTCATATTTGCTATCAATTTGGTGAACAAGATTCTTTGAGTTCGGTGACGACAATATAAACACAAACATAATCTTCATCCAGCACACCCCACCCAATTCGGCAACCGAAATTAAATCAGCTAAATTAAATTAGAAGTTGCTGGTACTCGGTTCCCCCGAAACGTCAGTTCCTATCTAAGAAACCAAACCGCGTCACACCCTCGAAAACCGTAATCTGAAGTTAATCTAATCCACCTTTATATAAACAGAATAGAATACTCCAGCTCCTACATATCAGCCTTCCGCTACGAGGAATCGTATCACTGAATAGTATTGATTTAGCGTGCTTCTGGAGCGATTTCAGATTCAGCCTCGATGTTATTCAAGTATAATACTGTCGCGTGTTTGCTAGGCAACGCGACAAGTAAGTTTGTGGGGATTCTCGGATTTGAACGAATATTTTATTGGACGGTCACTTTTACTCTCACACTTACAGTTACTCATCACTTATAGCGTCCTTCAGACGTTTCTTCTTCACTCTTACAATTACCTGCACCGTTGAGCTTGGTGAGGTGTCTTCTGCTCTGATAGGAGCTCAACTGTCCTTGGTCCCTTGTCGGATACGAACTCACTCCTGCTAAAGTCGAACACAAACTCTTCTGTTCTAGTCGGATAAGAAATCTGATGCTCTCAAAGTCAAAGTCACATTGCGACTGACGGTCAGTCAGTCAGTAAGTCTTGGTTTCGAGCCCCAGATATTTATTACTGTTTGACAGTTACGGTCTCTTGCCGAATACCAACTGTTATATATGCAATCGGACTGAATAGGGAATACCTTGACGAAGTGTTAATTTCGCCCGCTACTATGCAACGAACGCGGGAATACGTGTCTGCCTCAAGGAAACTCCACTGTCAGACTTTCATTTCCGGGGCAACGATTTCCTAGGCTTCGATGCCTAGGAATTGCGACCCCAAGTCCAAGTCACATTGCGACTGACGTTCACTCAGTCAGTAAGTCCTGGTGTCGAGCCCCGTCTCGGGCTCATGACCAGATATTTATTAGTGTTGAACATTACGGTTTTTTTGGGGGGGGGGGCGTCCACTCTGACGAGAGAACGGGTGTCTTTTTTTTACATGCTACTGGCCCTTGCCAGCGCAGTCTCAGATTTGAAACTTCCCTTTTCGTCGTCTCCTACGACTCGCAGGGTCACGGTGGAGGTATTCGACCCCGCTTCCACACGGGGTCAATTGCTACCCGTTGACTAGTGATGGACGTCTTATAGTCCGGCTTACAGACAGCACGTCACAATATATTTATCTTAACGTTATACTTTTGAAATATGGCTTAGGTATCTAATTATCAATTTTGAATTTTGATGGGTGTATGGGCGAGGGCACACCAAGGCAATTGGCAACCGCAATTACCTAGAATTGTTATCAGCCTGAGTTGAACACATCTTACTGAATGGAGCAGCGCAAATTGAGGAAACGGCAATGCAACTCGAGGAAAGTCTAAGAAACTCAACTTCCAGGCAACGGAGCATGTCAGTCTTCTCACGATTGCGCTGCCGCGTGGTTTCCTAGTGTCAGCTGTTCTATAACGCGCTTCAGTGATTCATTTGTTTCTTAAGATGGCATGAAAAGTTGACGAAGCTGCTAATTTTGTTTTTGTGCAGTTAATCGAGCAAGAACCTGGTATATATGAGAAACGCCACCCAGACCATGCTAGGCGGGACAAAATAGATTTGGCTTGGGAAAGAATTTCTCATGAGATGAAGGAGCCTGGACTCAGGTCAAGTTCTTTCGAAACAACATAAGCGCCTCAGTTTAAGTCACAGAAGAAGGGCTGCACCCAATGTTTTCTTTTTGTATTTAAGCATCCTGTTGCATTAATATATAATTAATTTCATATGTATTTCTGTCTTAAATGAAACTTACTGTACAGTCACCCTTCTTCCACATTACGTGGTTCGGCTATACGTGTTATATGGCCATCTTCAGGTGTCTTCTGTCTTGCTAAAATTGTTGCACTGTATGCCAAAATTTCGTATCGCGTGTGAACCAAATATTTCCTGATTAAAATAAAGTGACCTTAATTAAAACAAATTAATTAACATCCCAATATTTTCCGTATGGTCGTCTTCATCTCTTCTCACGCCGTCTCGACCGGTCTCAACTAGTACAAATTTTATGTTTTTGGACATTATCCATCGTCTTGTCTTTATCTAAAAACCGTCCTGTTTATTTTTCAAAACATGTTTCGGAGACTGGATTCTGTCTCCGTCTTCAGATAAAACCTACTCAGCTGGGCCCAATCCACCTCCACATTATGACAGGATCAGTATTACTATCTTCCACTGCAGAAGGTAAGTGCACGAAATTAAAAAATACAGCCGTGCATTACGCCGGACGAACATACACACTTGAAATGAAGTGAGCAAATACTCAACCATAAGTTTCTTTAGTGTGCGGCTGCTAATCTGCTTGAAATCGGCGACATTTCTCGGAAATTGCGGTTGCGTTGTGGTTGCCAGTTTCCTTTGTGTGCCCTCGCCCTAAGATTTAAAAGTTGCTCGTTAACTGCATTCAGTTCCATTTCAGTGGCGTAACTAGGGGGCGGAGGAACCAATGGCAAAACTTTACTTATGGGCCAACCTACCTTCACTACTTTCATAGTTTGTTTGGAAGACCTATTAACTTTCTATCTAATTAAATATTTTCCGTTGATTTAAAATAAAGAGAATCATGTATTAAAATATACGTGCAGAATCACTACTAGCAAACATAACACACAATTTACTCACAGCTAAGCTGAGAAGCGAAAGCTGCTTCACTCGGGATAACAGCCAGTCCATATAAGCACGCACGCAGGCACGCGCACAGGCAATGCAACGATGAGATTTATCACTACCGTTTCCCAGTTTCGGGTTACCACACGAATGGACTGCAGAGCATTAACAAGTTGCATAGATGTAACTTACATTTCAAGTCATGAACCAACAAGCAGTTTCTGTTTTAATGTATCGTGTCTATTCTGCGGATCTTGGTATTTTGATGCGTACAGACAGACACAGCAAGGTGATCCTCATAGGCCTCCTTCGGTTTCTTTTCAAAATAGGGAAAACGGTCGAGCTCTTTTTTTTTTAGTAATCCTAAGTTTTGGGGGAGAGGGCTCTATTGTCAAAAACAAAAGGAGAGTAGTGCAAACCTCGGGAGAACTCTCCGAAAGAGAACGGCTCCGTAT